TGGTGGCCTGTTTCATAGACCTGAAAGCGGCGTTTGACTCGGTGAACAGAATGAGATTGTGGGAGGCAATGAGGGAAAGAGGTATTTCGGAGGGGTTGATCGAAAGAACGAAGGAGATGTACAGGGAGACGGGAAGTAAAGTCCGCATTGGATGCAGGGTGTCGGAGAAGTTCTGGACAGCGAGGGGAGTGAGGCAAGGGTGCCCACTGAGCCCGATCCTATTTAACATCTTGCTGGCTGATCTGGAGGAGGAACTAAGGAAGAAATGGAAGGGTGGAGTAAGGCTAGGGGCGTCGAAAATCTTCTCACTAGCGTATGCGGATGACATGGTCGTGCTGGCGGAGGATGAAGCGGGAATGAAATTGATGATGGGATTTATGGGGGAGTACATGGGAAAAAAGGACTTGATAATAAATGCGGAGAAGTCGAAAGTGATGGTATTTGGAGCGGGAAGAGGGAGGAGACCAAAAGAGAATTGGAAAATGGCTGGGAGGGAGGTGGAGGAGGTGGACGAGTTTAGCTACCTAGGTTACTGGTTCAGGAAGAATGGAGGGCAGGAGAGACAAGTGAAAAGTAGAGTGGAGAAAGCGGGAAAGGTGATGGGCCCAGTGTGGGGAATAGGAAAGAGGAGATTTAAGGACGATTGGAGTAGAAGGCTGTGGCTCTTTGACTCACTCGTATGGTCGGTGATGGGCTATGGGGCCGAGATCTGGGGGTGGAAAGAGAGGGAAGCGATGGAAAGGATGCAGGAGAGATTTATGAAGTGGGTGTTGGGAGTGAGTAAGGGAGTGCCAGGATACATGGTCAGAGAAGAGTTGAAGAGGGAGAAGCTAAGGTCGAGGGCGATGAAGAGAGCATGGAAATTCGAGGAGAAGCTGAGAGGAGGTAAAGGAAGCAGCATAGCAAGGAGATGCTTAGAGGAAATTGAGGGGAGGGCGCCAGGGACGAAGGTGTCGAGATGGGAAGAGGAGAGGAGACAGTGCATAAGGCGGAGGAGAATGGGTGATAAAGGGAAGATGAAGGAAGGGGAGGGGGATGAAAGTGGAAAGGAGGATTGGGAGAAAAGGGAAGAAGAAATGCAACGGAAGGAGAGATGGACCGGAATTATGAAGTCGGAGTCGAATAAATGGTACAAGGGAATCTGGACAGAGGGAGTACCGGAGTACCTGGGAAAGGGGTGGAGTGAGGAAAGATGGAACAGGTTAGCGAGGTTCAGATTAGGAGATGGTATGAAAGGAGAGAGAGGATGGGTTCAGGAGGAAAGGAGGAGATGCAGGAGGTGTGGGGACAGTGAGGAATCGTGGGTGCATGTGTTGGATGAGTGTAGGAATGTAGAGGGGGAGGACAGGAGTGCATGGGAGAGAGTGTGTGAAATACTGGATGAGAAGGGGGGTGGGGAGGAATGGTTGATAGAATGGGAAAAGGAGGGAAGGGGAGTGAGTGAGGATTGAATGGGTGAGTGTCAGTGGGGGGGGGACGAGGGATGAAGAGTGCGTGTAGAGCAAGGGAAAGGAGGAGTGGGAGGAAGGGGGGAGCGGGGTGGGAAAGGTAGGTGGGAGGGATATAGGCTCGAAAATGAAGGAGCGGAACATCGGAGACCGGAAGCGGAGGTCCCACATGGCAGTTCTCAGGCCCTCTCTCGCTCAAACACTCGCACATGGAGGTCATTGGCTCATTGGGCCCCGGGTGGCCCGTGTATTAAAAATTGTAAATTGTAAATATATTATGTAAATATAGGCATAAGATAGGTAGGTTAAGGGGTAGGTATAAGGAAATTAGGTTGTATGGGAGGGGACTGGAAGTCCTTGTAACCCGAAAGGGAATCAATAAATATTATTAATATCTAATAATATATATATATAAATTATATTATTTTTTTTTTATATAATAATATTCAATATTTTTATTTTTATATTATATTATACTAAACTTATATAATATAATATATAAATTTAATATAATTTATTAAATTTTAAATTATTTTTTTTATATAAAAAATTTTTAGACTTTTTTCTATCTTCTTTTTGAAATTCTATACATGTATATATTACATTGGAAATATATAAATATATACATATTCCAATGATAACACCCCATACGTGGACGATTTGGCGCGCATAGCGCGCCATATACGCTAGTTTATGAAAAATCCTCAAAAATAATCTTTGACTGGTTTACCTTAAAGTAATCTTCTCGCTCCCTCGAGGATAAAAAGTGGTTGCGATGACGGTCAGTGTAGATTCAGGTAGTTCAATGCTCCGGATATTATCTCGTTCTTATCTTGAAGTGATAGACAGTGGTTGATCAGGCCTCCATCTTCCCAAAATTGCGCTGCCACCAAAATTTTATAGACCCGAGCGGTTGGGTTCGATGATAGGGATAGATCACTTGTAGATAATTAGAAATGAATTTCTCTCAGGGAGAACTTTTCAACTTTTTAGCGATTAAACGATTTATTCAATAATTATAGTCTTTGATTAATGCCGTAAATATCAGGCAATATGAATTATAAGAAAAGTGACTTAACGAATAATCGGATTACTAATTGTCTGTGTTTGACAACCTGACTAACTGCCCCAGTGGCAACGAACTCACGAGCTTATATTTCATCGTGGATTCGATTGCAACAAGTGTTCTATCTTTGTTTTACACCTGGAGAGACATCGGGTGACGTCCCAGGTGTACGTAAAGGCCATAGCCGTTGATGGGGCGAATTGCTGACACTGCACCCCAGTGATTCACATTATGACGAATACATGTGGACTTAATCCACAAATATTCGGGTTATTTTATATTACAACATTTACATTCTTTGATTCGATTTTACATGTTTTGGATAATATGTGCCACTTCGCGTGTCGTCATATTATCCAGGTCAATGAGAAATTACCTAATACTATTTCTCAATTTAATGGTATTTCTGGGGCATAACAAATCCCTAAACCCAAAAAACCGGGGAGTCCGTACTCCCAGAACTAAAACGATAACCTCATTACCGTAAAACTACCCGCGAGAAGCTGGAAGCCGATGACGAATGGAACGAAAGCGGGAAGACCTGGGTTGCTCAGGATGCTAGGTCGTGGAGAGAGGGCCAGGGTCCACGGATACGCGACTCTAATAACCGAAATCTAGACCGAAAAATAATACAGAGAACAGACTGTGGTTCGGGATACCGAGGGCATACTTGCAGGGTTCTGGGACGCTGAGGGCGACCTCTGAGAACACCTCGCCGAGAGCGCGCCGTAAGATAGCGAAGTGCCGGGATGCCGAAAGGGTGGGGATTACTCACCCAAAAGCACACTATCGAGAGCGTGACGGGCCCACTAGGGTAGCCCCAAATGTAGAGAGCCTAACGGGGGAGAGGATGACTCTCACCCAGAGAACATCACCAGGAAGAACATGGCCCTCACCTAGAGAACACCACCCGAGGAGAGTATTGCTCTCACTCAGAGAATGTCCCCGGGGAGAGCATGATCCTCACCTAGGGAGCGTAGAAGACCAATGCTGGGCATTGGGAGCCAGCTAAAGGCTCGAAAGATAGCTGCCAGTGGTCCGCACTGGGAGCCAGCCGAAGCGGCTCTGCCGAGTGAGTGGGCAGTCTCAGAAGTAGTGCCGATGTACCCCCACTCTCGACTACGGCTGGGTGAGCTACCGTGTGCCGAGACGTGCTGCCCTCGCCACAGGGAGGATATCCCTGGAATTAGCCTCTCCGGGAGCGCGCCGAATTCGAGAGTCATCGCTGACCCCTTCCAACAACCCCTTCGAAGGATCAGCCGCTCGAATGCCCACCCCATCTAACATGGAGCGCTCATACGCCAGTATGAGTCCTATGCTATATGGCAGCAAGTCGCGTAGGGGAGCTGGGAATGTTTCCCCGTGTCCGCCCTGTGCTGTTGCCTGTCCTTAGGCCTCCTAACACCCTAAGCACTCGGGCCCCAGTCCCCACACCCCTCGACGATTCGAGTAATTCCCGGGAGAGAGTCGAGATGGCAGAATTTTAGAGAACTTAACCGAAAATTTAGTTTAATGTGCGGGATTTCCAAAAATCCCGTTACAGCTTTATAAGTAATTTTAAAATTACTTATAAAATAATACTAATAATAATAATACTAATTACTTATAAAATAATATTTATCCTTATGCTTTATAAGTAATTTTAAAATTACTAGTATCTTTATAAGTATCCTTATATCCTTAATATTATAAGTATCCTTATAAGCATAAGGATAAGTATAAAAATTCTTATAAAGCATAAGGATAAGTATTCGCAGCTCCCGCTCTTGCGAATTGTAAGAAGCGGGGAGAACTTAAAAATCGTAGGGAGAAGTCGAACCAAACAGGAAACGAAGCCTACCACAGAGAATCAAACCATTAAGGTTATTGTCGTGTAAACCCGTTTTTCAACAGATTTTTTGAAATTTTTGCTATAGGTAGCTCTTAAAATTCCCTCCAAAATGAGCACAACAAAAAACCAATCGTCAGTTTCTGAGCTGAGATATGATTTTTTGAATTAACATGGGTTCAAATGCATTTCACCGTTTTTATTTAAAAAAAAAAAAACCACTGTACATTTGTTGATGAAATTACTATAGAACGTAGAAATAGTGACCACCAATATCCTGAAACAAAATTCATTCATTCATTCACGGAGCAAGGGCCCCGTGATGTTCAAAAAAATTAATTAAGGAGTCCATGGAGTTTTCAGCGCACTCTGCGGATATGACAGAGTTGGCAGTAGGTTCAGGTTCCGTTTCCTGTCTCTCAGCATCGTTCACATCAAATTGTTCTTCACAACTCGGATTAGTAGCACTGTCGGCTCTCTCAATCTCACATGTTTCTTCATCAATGAAGGGGGGACTCACCATATCAACAATTTCCTCGTCGGATAAGTTCTTAGGTTTTTCTTTGTCAGCGTTATTAATCCATTCTTCGATATCATTTTCTGTGAGACCTGTCGAATTTTGGAGCAACAGGAACGCATTGATGAAGTGTTGCAGAAGTATTGTTTGTTGGGGTTCATTCTTCTGAAGCCCGTTGAAAATTACTAATGGTATCAGTGGCTTCCAGCATTTGATGATGGTCAATTGTGAGACTTCGTCCCAACTTTGAGCTACCCATTGGATTACCTCTCTAATTGTAATTTTCTTGATGTGGTCTATCAATGTCCCTGTTGTGTCTTGAGCTTTGATGATTGCAGATAGGAAATGGTATCGATAATTTTTCTTCAAGTTTTCGATGATACCTTGATCCAAGGGTTGAATTATAGAGGTAGTATTAGGTGGGAGAAATACTACTCGGATTTGTCCATCGACGAGATCTTTTGGGTGGCATCCAGCATTATCAACGAGGAGAATGGCTTTAGGTAATAAATTTTTTGACAATAAAAATGCCCTAACTTGCGGAGCAAATTTATTTCTAAACCAAGCCTCGAAAATTGTGTAGTTCATCCAAGCACTTGTTTGGTGAGTGTAAATGACAGGTAAGGAGTCATGAGAAATATTTTTAAGTGCCCGTGTATTCTTGGATTTGCCAATAACAACCAGTGGTAATTTGAGAGAAGCATCGGCATTGGTACAGGCCATTATTGTCAACCGTTCCTTATTTTTTTTAAAACCTGCTGCCCCATGATTTTTTCGTACTGCAAGCGTTTTACCCGGCAACATTTTGAAATTGAGACCAGTTTCGTCGGCATTGAATATTTGACTGGGTCCATACTTTTCTTCTTCCAATATTCTTGCTAATTTGATCTTAAAATCTAGGGCACCCTCAACATCTGCTGAGAGTTTTTCTCCTGCAATCCCAAACGACTTGATTTCGCGTCTTTCCTTCCAGTTATTCAACCACCCCTCACTGGCCACAAATTGTTTACTCCCCTGCAATTTTATATTGAGTTGTTTGGCTTTTTCCTTAACAAAAGGCCCTGTGATCGGTATGCCTTGGAGACGAGAATGGGTAAACCAAATCCAGACGGCTTCATCCAACACTGGATTATTAGGACCGCGAATTCGCTTACGAGGACGATTGTTGGTTTTCTGAAAATCTTCAAGAGATGATTTTTTTCTCCTCCATCTCCATATGGTAGATCGATCAACGTTGAATTCAGTCGTGAGTGAATTTATGTCTTCACCGCTCTCAAGGCGACGAATACAACACAGTTTTTTCTCAATAGTTAATTCTGAATGTTTACGTTTCACTGATTTGTTACGAATATTTTTATTATTCTCCTGAGATAAGGACATCTTGTTGGTGCATTTATCGCCAGTCTACTAATTAAATTCACTTAAAATTATTCAAAAAACATTTGAAGAAATACTTGTGCCGGGGAAACAACGTGTGTGTGGTACACAAGCATGGCTCTTTCGTATTTTGGTTACGATATCGATCGGAGGCGGAGTAGGGGTATCGCTCGAGCGTCTGAAACGCGAATCAGGGGAAAGAGTGGCAACTATCGAGAGTGCAACTAACGAGAGGCTACTGTAGAAAGTTTTTTCATCAATCTCGACATGTTGGTTTGTATCATAATTTATATTATATTATTATTATTATGCGCTGTGATATCATGACAAAGATGAATTAATATTGATTCTAATATTTGTGTTTATCTTTGTAGTAGATTAAGAAAATTTATCGGTCTTGAGAATGGGTGAACTAATATTAACAAGTGCACAGAGAATTGTGAAAATGTTTTCAATTTTATTCAATAGAACTATAGGCAGAATGAAACGGAGAATGGCGAATGTTTTCAATCGTTGATTGCATCGCTCAACATGCACGCGAGCTGTCGGTACGATTCAGAATTGCCTCCTCCCGTGAAAACTGTGTCTTATTTCTAGGAAAAACTGGCGTGATGAGGTCGATGTCTTTTTTACGAAAAATTCATCCATGGTAAAGCCCTTGTCTGCCATAACTGAATCTTTCTTGTCAATTTTATCTACAATTCCACTTTGCTCAAAAATAATATTGTCAGAAACTCTTCCTCCATAGGCTTTGCTCACAAAAGAAATTAAACCCGCAGGGGTGACTCCTGTCAGGAATTTGACCGTGTTCGTTGCATTGTAATGGGAATATGTTTGAAGCTGACAAGATAGTTTCGAAGGTCTTTGTATAGTAATTTGTGTGCAATCCGCAACTACTCGTACATGTTCAAATCCTTTAAAACATTGCGGAAGACTTTTGAGTGTATGATTTTTATCAGGCCTAAAAGCCGCGGACTTCAAGCAAGTGTCCAGTAAGTCGATCGACTTACTGGACACTTGCTTGAAGCCCGCGGCTTTTTGGCCTGATAAAAATCATACAAAAAATTTGAGATCTGCAAGTATTGCGGTGCATTTAAAGAGATGTGCTAACATAGCACAGCAAGCATTTTGCTTCAACATCATGAAAGTCATAATGACAATCTCCCGCAAATAGAGTTTTTTGACATCCATTGTATGATTTGCCAGTATGTTTAATTAATGTCTCAATTTTAGTCCAAATCCCAAAACTGGCAAGGCCTATCAGTGTACTCAGTTGGTGATCAGAACCAGTGGAATCAGTAAACTTCGCAATTAGAAAATCGCTCTGCACTTGGATTGCTGCATCTCTGAATACCGCCTGTGTTCGGTTTTCTACCGAATTCTTTTCGCACACACACACACGTCCACACACTCATGACCTACTCAGCTGATTAACTCGCTCGCTAACCTCAGATGACCAATAGCCTTTACCTCTGACACCTGAGGCGCCACCTGATGGACAGGTGTAATTGACCACCGCGATGATCGACACCTCCCACCTTGCGGCTTATCACTCTCTCTCATTCGCATATCGTCCGCGAGAGTGTTTACGCGCTTTTATTCGAACTTTTCCTTTATTTAATTTATTGACCCCCTCATTATTAGTTCTTCTCCAAAATATCTCAATAGTTCTTTGAATTATATAGTGTTCTCATTGCTCAGCTCTTTATAGTGACATTTAATTGTGAAGTGACTCTTTTTGACCAATGCCACGCGAGTGGTGATTTGATCCTCTCACACATCATCCCATATTCCACTTAAATCTCGACCATCTCCTGAAAATATTCCGCGAACCAGATCCCCTTCGAGTCGGATCCGCGGGATATTTTTTTTAGTTTTCGCGCCTAATTAGTGTTTTACGGGAGTGTTAATTGGACAGCGTCAGTGTTCAGTGGAGCTCAATGTACAGAGTCGCCGCCCGAGAAAATTTGAATTCGTCCAGCTCAAGCAGTACTCAACCAGTTCTTCTCCCACACAATCAGAGACCACTGTTACCGACCCAGTCACAAGGCGCACCTTCATCGACCATCTCAAGGCCGAGAAATTCAAATATATCAGCTCAACTAAAGGGAAATTAATATTATTTCTCTTTATTTTTTTACTGATATTTCTCACCTGATCCGGAACTGGAAATTGCTGCTGTTTCTCTTTATTTATTTTTTTTTATTTTTATCTTTTTCTGACTTTGTTACTTTTTCCTCTGTTGGCCTTCGTTCTTACACTCTGCTCTTGATCATCTTTATGCGTTTATTCGCTACTGCTCCCGAACGTCCCTCGATGCGCTCTATAAACGAGACGAGAGGGACAAGTTTGAGCGCCAATCGGGTGCGTCCACAGGTGGCGGATAGAGGGACGGCCGACGGAGAGGTGGGGCAGGTTAAGAGCTGGAAACCTAGAGATATGGGACTGGCTCTCCTAATGAAAATATTCCTGACGCCAAGGACGGTGCCCTCACAGAGGAAATGTCTGAGGCCTTACAGATTGTCCAGGCCGTTACAGTCTCTGATGCTCCGACGGGGGCACAGAAGACTACGGAAATGGAAGTGGAGACGCTGGAGGGACGCTGTCGCACAGGGGCGGAGAAGCGCAGGGTCTGCAAGGCCAGAATGGTAACAGGGGACTTGCGGGAACAGTGCTCTCCAACCAAATCGGGGACAGCCAGAGGTGGAGAGGAACGGGGAAGTGGGTCCAAAAGATCCAGATCTGATGGAGCCACTCCACCGGAAGACACTGCGGCCCGAAAAAAGCAAAGGGTGAGGGCTGGCCTTGGAGCCACCTCGTTCGGGATGGCGGCGAGGGGTGGCGGCAAGGTAGCAATTATACCAAGCGGCTACCCTGAGCCATCCCTGACTGAGGCACAGGCCAACCTCGTCCAGGACAAGCTGGAGGAACTCATCTTCGGGGGTGATGTCGAAGGGCATCCTCCTGGTTTTGAGAGCCACCGCTACGACCAGGGCGTGCTTTGGGTGACGTGCACCGACGGCCGGTCGAAAGACTGGCTGAAGGGCGCGGTGCCCAAACTAGCGCCGCGGGAAGGGGCCTCCCTCACAGTAATGGAGACGGATGCGCTCCCAAAACTGGTCCGCGTAACGGCCTTTATCCCTGGGAAACCAGTGGGGGCGAACGTTGCGCTGGACCGTCTAAGCAAACAGAATCCGTGCCGTACCACTGAGAGGTGGAGGGTCTGAGGCTGTTGCGAGGGCAAAAACGGCGGCCTAAACCTGGTGCTGGGGATGGACCTCCGGTCCTTTGAGGTCCTCAAGAAATTAGGCTGGGGCCCGTTCTACGGCTTGACACGAGCTCGTTTGTACGAGTCTCGGAAAATGTCGGAGGAGCGGGAACCAGCACCCGTGAGGACTGCGGGACCAACGGTCGACCCACAGGTCCAGAAGGCCACTAACGGGACGGGCAGGAGCGAGGGAATCGCTGAGACCCCTCATAATCCAGTGGTCCCCCTGACACCCGTGACATCGACCCCGGGGGGGGGGGGGATGCGCACGGGGACCCGGCGAGAGCCTCGGAGACCCCTCTAGTCCCTCAACTGGGAAAGAGAAGGGGGCGCCCCAAAAGGCAGAAGGGAAGGCCTGCACTGGCGAGGGGGGGGCCCGGCGGGGGCTGCGAGAGGGTCTCAACCGACCCTCTTGTGGGCCTTGACCGGTACCCCTGGCCGGGACAGGCCAGAGAAGGACGGCCCTGGCATGCCCAGTAGGTCAGAGGGGAACGTTAACCCCAAGTAAGGGAGCCGCGATGATCTCTGGACATGCACGGCGGGGAGCGGATAGCAAGGTAGGGGCGGTCATTGCCCCAACCCTTGTCCAATGCTCCCAAATCAACCTGCAACACTGCAAAGCGGCGACGGCTCTCTTGAGTCGCAGCCACGTCGTGGAGCAGACAGACATATGCCTCATCCACGAACCCTGGGTGACAAGGGGCATGGCAAGAGCACTCGACCTCAGGGGCAATGAGCTTTTCTTCGCGCAGGGGGAGCCAGGACCGAGAACTTGCATCTCCGTTAAAAGAGCTTCTAATGCCAGGAGAATGGTAAACTTCTGTCACAGGGACCTTCTCGCGGCGACGGCGGGCCTCCGGGGGGAGGGCGGATCCGAAGACATTGTCTTCTGTTCTACCTACTTTCCGTTTGTCTCGGCGTTGCCGCCGCCCACGGGGGAACTGAGGAAGCTGGTTCGCTACTGTAGGAGCAATGGGCTGCCACTCATTGTGGGCCCGCGACGCAAACACGCAGAACGTGGTTTGGGGCAGTGAAAACAACAACGCCAGAGGCACATCCCTCTTGGAATACTTGGCAGACGTCGACCTGGAGATCCTAAACAGGGGATCCAGTCCCACGTTCATCACTTCTCGCTGCCAATGTGTCATCGATATCACGCTGTGTGACAGGAGGCTAGCGCAACGGTACGTTGACTGGTGGGTGGACCGGGAGGACACACTATCCGATCACAGACGCATCAAATTCAACATTGAAGGCAGAGCCGGGAAGTTGCAGGGTCCCGCACGCAGGGACCCCAGGACTACCGACTGGACCTCTTTTAAAGAGGAGCTGGAGGCAAGGTTGAGGGAACGGCGGTTGAGGCCCAGCAACGTGCGCAGATTAGAGGATGAAGTGGACACAATCCACGAAGCCCTGATTGGCGCCTTCCACAAGGCATGCCCGATAAAAGCGAGCAGGCAGGGGAAAAACGTGGCATGGTGGAGCCGTGAACTGGATAGACTCAGAGTGCTGTCCAGGAGACTCTGCAACTACGCCTACAGAACAAAGAGCCATGAGGACTGGACTCAGTACAGAAATTCGCAGGAAGAGTACAAAAGACTCATCAAAAAATCGAAGGAAACCGCCTGGAAGGACTTCTGTGATGACTTGGAGGCCCTACCACAGAGAGCCAGGCTTCGCAGGGTCTTTTCGGGGGAACCAACGCAAGGGCTGGGGGAGATCATACTCCCTAACGGGGAGATCATCACACAGCCCAACGACATCCTGGAACATCTGATCCAAGTGCACTTCCCGGACTCTAATTTACAAAGGAGGGACTCGCGCACGGGGACGGTTCTGGAGCAAACAGAGAGGGGTGGCCCATACTGGCGCCTAGCCTCGGAAATAATTACGATGGCGGGCCTGAGGTGGGCTGTGGACTCCTTCGACATGTATAAGAGCCTGGGCCCCGACGGGTTGGGGGGGTCCGCAGCACCTGCACAGGCTGCTGCCAATATGAAGAGCAAGCCTTGCTCTTGGGCATGTGCCCTACAAATGGCGGGAGGTCAGGGTTGTCTTCATCCCCCAACCGGGTAGGTGCAGCTATGACAACGCCAAATCCTTCAGGCTTATCAGTCTGAGCTTTTTCCTCCTAAAAACACTGGAGAGGCTCGTTGACAGGCACATCAAAATGGGAGCTCTGAGGACTAATCCGATCAACCTCTCTCAACACGCCTACCAGGTTGGCAGGTCAACGGAGACTACCCTGCACCGCCTGGTGGGCAAGATCGAAGGTGCTAAGGCAAGAAAAGAGGACACGCTCAGTGTCTTCATTGACATCGAGGGAGCCTTTCACAACACTTCCTTTAGCACCATGGAGAAAACAGCAGCATCGTTCGGCATCGAACAGCCCATTATGAGATGGATAGCTGCTATGCTCCGAACAAGAGCGGTCTCCTCCTCCATGGGCGACAGCACGTTCAGGGCGCTCGCGGGGCGGGGCTGCCCGCAGCGGGGGTTATCTCTCCCCTGTTGTGACTCCTAGTGGTGAACGGGCTCCTGACTGAGCTGGAAGAGCTAGGCCGGAGGCGATAGGCTATGCAGATGACGTAGCGTTGCTTGTGTCCAGTAAGGACAGCGGTACGCTATCTTTCAAAATGCAAAATGCACTAAATCACATACAGCGATGGTGCACATTTAATGGCCTCAAGGTTAACCACGGAAAGACCGAAATGGTGCTCTTCACTGGCAAGAGGAGATTGGTGGTTATACCCCCCTCCATCGATAACACATTACTGGCCTTCTCAGCTGGAAAAAGCACATCAGCAAGCAAACCAGCAAAGTCATAGGGACATACTGGCCCTGCAGAAGGATGTTTGGAAGCACGTGGGGGCTAAGACCCACGGTCGTAAGATGGATCTATACAGCCATCATGCTCCCACAACTAACCTATTCAGCTGTTGCCTGGTGGCCGGCCATCAACAAGGCCTGCGACAGGAAAACGGTGGATAAACTGGAGAGGCTTGCTCTGCTGGGAATTACGGGGGCGCTCAGAACGACTCCAACCTCGGCATTGGAAGCGCTACTCTTCATGCAGCCGCCACACCTCATCATAAGAGATGCGGCGCTGTCAACAGCAGCCAGGCTGCAACTGACTGGCACCTGGAGGGAAGCCAAGATGGGGCATTCTTCGCTCCTCACGGAGGACAGGGTGCTCTTTGGTTCGCTGTCCAAAGGGGGTGACGCATGCAAAACTGAATGGCACCCTCACAAGAGATTCAAGGTTAACCTAGGCACTGCGGACACGCATGCCTGGGTGGACTCCAAATGGTTGCCACCACGGCTCCAAGACGTGCGGCCGAGCGGGGGCAGGAGTGTTGTCCAATCGACCTTCCGTTGAGAAGGCCCTTGCCTGGACCCACACCCCACCCCGCTTCAAACAGAATTAGCTGCGTTGAGAGCCTGCGCCAGAATCATACTGGCAAGGCAGGACAAGGGCAAGGTAATGCACATCTACTCGGATAGCAGGCGGGCACTAGGGGCCCAGCTTAAGGACGAGAGTGGCTCCAGGTTGGTAAACGACTGCACAGAGTTGATGAATCAAGTTGCAACTTGCAACAAATTAAAGGTGTCCTGGATACTAGGTCACGCCGGCATACTTGGCAATGAAAAAGCCGATATGCTGGCCAAACTGGGATGCCGGGCAATGGCGTTGGTGAATGAAGACCACGTTGGCGTTCATTCCGACTATATAAAGGAAATAATCCAAAAACGCGCGGACAGGGGAGTGGTGGAGAGATGGAGCTCAGGGTTGGGTGCCAGACACACCAGATCCCTTCTCCGGGTACCCTCCAGGAAACTGGCTGACGAACTCCTGTCCCTGAGCAGGGTAAAGCTGCGCGCCCGACTAGGGCTTATCACGGGATACTGGCCGTTAGCTGCCGACCTGGCGAGAATCGGCAAGGAAGATGATCCTCTTTGACCGAGATGCGGTTTGGTGGAGGAGGACCCCCACCATCTCAGTACAAAATGCAGTGGTCTTAATGAGCTCCGTTTGGATATCTTTGAGACAACTTGCCTTAAAGACCTTTATGTCGCCAGGGACGGCTTCAAGGGACTCTACGAATTCGCACGTGGGGCACAGATGCTGACACCTCTCGACTAGACTGCTGCCACAGGCAGAGCGCAAAATGGCCGCAAGGCTAATTATGCACTCCTCTTTTCGAGGACCGTCTACAGTTAATAATAATTCAATAATATGTCGCTACTGCTATCATTTTGCTGCTGAACTTTGCTGTTTTCTCTTGCTTTTTTTATTTTTTCCATTTCGCTCTTCGTTCAGCAATTTTTTTTAAATGGCAACTATCGATGCAGTAATTTCTCTGCAAATGACACGTGCAGCCTTCATAGAAGGCATTTTTAAGGAGACCAATGAGGAGAACATTAAGCAGCTCGGCGTGACTGCTCTCGACTCGAAGCTGATTATGCTCGAGAACTATTGGGCTAAGCTGGAAGCTTCTCATGAGAAACTAGTTTCTCAAAAAATCGAGAACTTGACCTCTCTCGATTATTCTAATCGTCAGGTCTTTGATTCAGCTCTTAAGATTTTCGCCTCTGCTAAGGTGGCGCTGCTGCAGCTCTTGGAGAAGAAAGGCGCTCCAAACCTAAACCAGTCACTATGTGGGACTGGAGAAGCTCAATCGTCCAGCTCAACTAGACGTGCTCTGCCTGAGATCGCATTGCCAAAATTCTCAGGGATTTACCAGGAGTGGAGGCCATGGAGAGATCTTTTTCAATCGCTGGTCGGCAACCATCAAGACATTCCAGGGATCGAGAGAATGCATTACCTCCGCCTCTGTCTCTCTGGTGAACCTCTTAAGCTCATCTCCAACTTGCCAGTTTCTGAGAATTCTTTCCGTATTGCCTGGAGAACTCTAGTGGATCGCTATGAGAATAAGCGTTTACTCATTGCAGCTCATCTTGACCAGCTGTTAAATCCAGCGCAAATGAAATAGCACAGCGCCTCAGACCTAAATCTCTTGACCAGCTCGATATCCGAAGCTCTCAGCGCTCTCAAAGCTCTGGATCAGACAATTAATCATTGGGGTCCAGTAGTAGTTCACGTCCTCACTCGTCGGCTATCGAGTAAGCTCCGGGAAGCATGGGCAACCAAGATCGGCGCCTCTACTGAACACCCTTCACTTGACCATCTCCTTGATTTCCTCCAAGGTCGCTCTCGAGCTATGGAGACACTGGAGGTTGGATCATTTTCGCTGTCTTCCAGCAATGCAGCTCCCTCTCCTCAGCCCAGAGTACAAACTCGGTCCATGACTAAGAACATCGCCAAGGTCAACCAAGTCTCAGCCTCTCGTCCTTCTCAGCAGACAGCTCAGAAAGTCTCAAGGTCCAGCTCCAGGGAAGCACAGCATCCGAGTCTGCCAGACACCTCGCACATGCAGAACGTGGCAGGAGAAGCATCACACTCTTCTCCATCTTGATCGCTCTCGTCGTCCAGTTCAGACTCGACCTTCTGCTCAAGCAACTTAACGGGCGGGTGCTGCAGTTACTCAGCTCACATCTTTCGGATGGATTGCTCGGCTCAAAAGGCCCAGCGCCAGCTCCAACTCGATTTACTCATCACCTGACTGACTCAGAGGTATCCAATGATCAACTCGAAGACCTTCTCGCTAAATTTTGGATCCAGGAGGAAGTTCCTGGCCGTGTTGACTCGAATCTCTCAGCTAACGAACTTAGCTGTGAACAGCATTTCCGTCAGACTCACTCTAGAGACAGCTTGTCTTCATCCGATGATCCCTAGGATTTCCAAACATCAGCGTCTTTTTCAGCTCTACCTTGACTTTCTCAAGGAATATGTCGATCTCGATCATATGAGGTTGATAGTTCCTTCTCTTGTTAGCTCTTTGTCTTCGGTTCAGGTGGAAACCGCTTCTTGTTCTGACGGGATGACCTTGGCACACGAAGATCAGGCTTCAGGAGGGTGGAAGGTCTCTGAGGGGCTTCAAGTAGGACCGTCTGACGTTTGCAGGAGTTACTACCTTCCTCATCATAGAGTAGTCAGAGAGAGCAGCGAAACAACGAAATTGAGAGTGGTTTTCGATGGATCTGCGAAGACCTGCTCTGGCAAATTGCTTAGCGACATTCTCCATACAGGGGCCAAGTTGCAGCGCGATATATCTGATGTTCATCTCTGGACTAGACAGCACAAGGTCATCTTCATGACGAACATCACCAAGATGTTCCGTCAGATCAGAGTTCATGAAGATGACTGGCCTCTGCAGCAGATTGTAGGGACCGACTCGAATGGAGGATTCTCAACGTATCAATTGACCACCATCACGTATGGGACTAGATCCGCTCCGTTTCTTGCAAATCGTGTTCTCCTACAGCTGGCTGAGGATGAAGGACATAAATTTTCATTGGCCGTCGATCCCACCGTGAAAGGAAGATACGTCGATGATATCTGTCGAGGTGCAGATACGCATGACCAGCTCGTAAGAACAGCTCAAGAAGTTCGTAATCTCTGTGCTGCCGGAGGGATGTTTTTTGGCAAAATGGCACGGCAATAGCTCAGCTCTTCTCAGATGGCTCGACCCTGATAGCACCTCCAATGACTAGCGAGTTTGCGAGAATTCAGGGACCAGGATACTGGGATTATCTTGGCAGCCGAACTCAGATAACTTCGTCTTCTCAACCAAACCATCGCAGAACTTGACTGTCTCCAAGCGGATTATTCTCTCTGAAATTGCTCAGCTCTACGACCCTCTCGGATTTCTCTCTCCTGTAGACATCAGATGAAAGATGCTCCTACAGGAGATTTGGCTTGAGAAGCTTGGTGGGGATGATAAAGTTTCTCTTCAAATAGCTCATCGATGGGATCGTTTTCGACAGGATCTCACCTCGTTGTCCAACGTATCCATACCCAGATGGATTGGGTTGCTCCAGAACTCCGTTGATGAGATACACGGATTCTTAGACGCCTCTCAGCTTGTAATGTCAGCCATAGTCTTTCTCAAGGTTTTCAATGACAATGAAGAGCTTCGTAGCTCATTGATCTGCTCAAAAACTAGACTAGCTCCTTTCAAACGACTGACAATTCCAAGGCTTGAGCTCTCAGCTGCAGTGCTTCTTGCGAAATTAGTTGAGTACGTCAAAGATCAGCTCGACTTCTCCAATGTGCCAACATATTTATGGACCGACTCTTCAGTTTCGCTCACATGGATAAGCTCTCGCCCTTCCAGATGGAAGGAATTTGTTAGAAATCGTGTCCAGCTCCTCAGCTCCTATTCTTCAGGGTAGATGCCGTTCGACGACCACTGGAGAACCCATATGCTGGACTGGTATTATGGTATAATGACGGTACGAAGTGGTCTTTCAACCCACCAGGAGCTCCTCACTTTGGAGGAAAATGGGAAGCAGCAGTGAAGTCAGTTAAGTTTCATCTCAAACGGATCATCGGAGAAGACCTGCTCACGTTTGAGGAACTAACGACTTTGCTCGCTCAGATTGAAGCCGTGCTCAACTCTCGACCACTTGAAACGCTCTCGGAAGATCCTGAAGATATTTCAGCACTTACTCCAGGACACTTCCTAATTGGACACGCTCTGACAGCTCTACCTGAACCTTCTCTGGATCAATTGAACATCTCACGATTATCTCGTTAGCAGCTTATTCAACAACAGGTTGAGAGCTTCTGGAATCGGTGGTCCACCAGCTATCTTCAACATCTCCAGTCCATCTCCAAGTGGCACCACCCATCTCACGACATCATGATCGGCTCTATAGTCCTTCTCACCGACGAGAGATCCCCACCATCAAAGTGGCCTCTCGCTCGAGTTACCGCGCTCCATCCTGGCAGAGATGGACTCACCAGGGTGGTAACCATAAAGACGTCCAGCTCAACTCTTCAACGGCCAATCGCAAAGCTCGCTTTGCTGTCTATTTCGACCAGCGAAGATTGAAGATCACCTCAGCACTGCTCAGCTCTAGACCAGCGCATCTAGATCTTCTCCAAGTCAACAAGCTGCTCATCGTTAGTACGTCTCCACGGCGGGGTTCATCACTACTCTGTTCTTGTTCAGACCTCGATGAGGATTTACGCCCTTCATCTTGAAATCTGGGCGGGAGTGGAAGTCAGTCAGCCTACATCTGGGGAATTTACGCCTCCAACGATTCTGGCTCTGCTAGCAGTTGATGTACTCCAGTGGTGATATTGACCATCGATTAACTATTGTCCTGGATTGGTTAATCTCCTTTATGTTCTAGGTCAACTCATTAACGTCAGCAGTTGCTGAGGGCGGGGGAGAATGTTCGGTTTTCTACTGAGTTCTTTTCGCACGCACACACACATCCACACACTCATGACCCATTCAGCTGATTAACTCGCTCGCTAACCTCAGTTGACCAGTGGCCTTTTACCTCTGACACCTGAGGCGCCACATGATGGCCAGGTATAATGGACCATCGCGATGATCGACACCTCCTACCTTACGGCTTATCACTCTCTCTCATTTGCATATCGTCCGTGAGAGTCTTTATACGCTTTTCTACGGACTTCTCCTTTATTTAATTTATTGACCCGCTCATTATTAGTTCTTCTCCAAAATATCTCAATAGTTCTTTGAATTATATAGTGTTCTCATTGCTCAGCTCTTTATAGTGACATTTAATTGTGAAGCGACTCTTTAGTTGACAAGTAAATCGACTCTATTTGACCAACGCCACGCGAGTGATTATTTGATCCTCTATCGCATCATCCCGTAATCCACTTAAATCTCGTCCATCTCCTGAAAATATTCCCCGAACCAGATCCCTCTCTGAACAGCCTGAGCGAGACAAAAATTAGTTTGATGATTGAAACTTGATGTTTCCTGAACAGTTTTCAAGTTCACAGTTTGAATATTTTCTTTTTTCTTGCCGACGTCTCCCACGGCGCTGTCAAAAAGTTCTGGTTGGTTATTTTCCAACACTTCATTCCTCTCCTCCAAAATGACAGATCTTTCACCCGGCTTTTCCGGAATTCCCAATACTGTTTGTGGCCATGGCTCCATGTTTCTTCTCTTTTGATTCCCATCAAATCCCTTCTTTTCCTATAATCTTCTGTCTCTTCTCTGTGATCTGGCTTCAATAGAGTCAATAGACTTAATATCAGGTGAACACGTTTTACCTATAATGAAAATGAACGAAATTAATTAATTTTATCAATCATTAGGGATGCAATTCATTAGGGATAGAAATTTGAATAACTTTAGACAATTCTCTGGTGCACTTACCTGGAGGAATGAAATTGTCTTTTCTAAAATGTAAGGAGCAAACTTTTGTCGATTTTGTTATTGTTTTTCTGATTTTTAGAGCTTTCATCCATACATTTAAGCGATCGAGTAGTTCTTCTTCACCAAATTTATTAATTACTTTCACAAATTTTTTTTTACTGGGAATTGAAAAAATCCCACTGTCGTATAAGCTGCACTGTTGCAACCAGGCACACTACAAAATTCTTCATTTTTAGTCATTCTCGTGTCATACTCCATTGTCCAATGACTCACTTCAATTCTTCGCTATTTCAGAATCACGAAACAACTGGTTTTATTTGTATAATCACGATCAATACTGAGATATTAATATTTAAAAGGTAAAAAACAATTGAATATCCGAGCATTTGCTAAATTCATCACGAGCATACATTCGTGTTGTTCCAGTTTGAAATATGGAGGAGTGCACGTTAGAAATATTGAATGATTAAAATACTTAGCATTATTGAAAAATCATAGTGATTATGGGGCATCCATGTTATTTAAAGGGGTATCCCAATCCGATTGATGTTGATGGGAGAATTTGGCTCGTGCGAAAAACTCGACTAAATGTTGTAAACCTATCATGGAAATATTCTCCGATGTCTGTAACAGCGGTTGGGGATTCCATTGATGGAGTGAAAGCACATGGATTTTTGAAATTCGATGGAGAACGACAGAAACATATAAATGAGTTGGAATTGATT